AAGCAAAATCCTTTCTAGACATTCTAGGTTCTTGATGAAATAGGGATCAAAGAAATGATCAAAATATCAAATTGCAGCACCTAATTAAATGATCAAAATCCTTTCCCCATAAGCCCCTCCCACCGCGATTCTCTTCTCCGTGGGAGCAGGTATAAGAGAGAGAAGAGGCTTTTGCTCCCTCCAGAGGCCTCCTTGTGTTACTTCTTGGGTAAAAAATGAAGAGTCCTACTACAATCAGGACTCTTCTCCTTTCTCCAGTTCTTCTTGATTTTGGTGATAAACCCTAGACCTGCTACAAGGGGTTGTAGATCCACCAAAAAAATCCAAAAACTGGGATTTCTTGAAGTCCTCAATCAGCTCTTTAACTCATCATGTAGTCGGCTGATCTAGGCTGCATGATGGAACAGTTCAAGAAAGCCTTAAAGATGTTCTGATGCCAAGTAGTAAGTGCAAAAAACTGATCTGATTTAAAAATTGTATAGAAAAGAAAAGAAAAGATTGTGCAGAAAAGAGAAGAAGAGAAAGGTTGAGGAGAATGTGGAGAAGCCAAAACAGAATTAGGTCTGGCCACCCGTTCCATTGTCTTATATATTAAAAATAAAAAAAAAGGGAWACAATGGCAAGTATACCCTTAGTAAGTCAGCCACTACTAAAACATAAGAACATACTCTCAACTAAACATAAAGCAATGGGCCTTGGGCCCAATAACTCTAACTAAACATTATAAATAAAAGAAAAGATAAACTAATGGGCCTTGGGCCTAATAACTCTAACTAAACATTATAAATAAAAAAACAAATGATGTTATCAGCCCAATCTCAACACTCATAAACCTTTATAAACTTTAATCATACCAAATAACCAAATATCATCCCAAAATTCCATCTAGTACTCTAGAATCTATGATTTATGAGTTGGCTTCACATGTTAGATTCCTGTCCTTTTGTGCAATATCTACTCCAAACCAGTGTTTTAAAAAGGCGTGGGAGGCGTATGCCTGGAAGCACGCCTCCAGGCGAGGCGCTTCCAAAATGCCCTGAGGCGTATGCTAGAGGTGCTGACACCTCATGCGCTTTTTTCCTGAGGCGTCCTAGAGGCGTACGCCTCATGCGGCTCATGCACATCTGATATAAAAAGACAAAAAAAAAAGAAAGGAAAGGAAAGGAAAAGAAAGGGAAGGGAAAGAAAAAGAAAGAGAGGGAAAAAAGAGAAAAGGGAAGGGAAGAAAAGATAAGGGGAAAGAAAGTGGTTTGCTCCCCCGCCTTTCAACTAATGTTATGCATCTTTATTCTTCTTAATATAAAAGATTTTTATTAAAAATAAAGAAAAAATGAGATCCCCCTTCCTCTTCATCCTCCTCCCCTCCTCCTAACCCCCCTCCTCTTAAGGAGGATTACGCCTCCCTGTGTTTGGGAGGCTTACGCCTTTTGCATTCTGAACTACGCCTCACGCATCTAGGCAGTGGAACGCCTCGCGTCACGCCTCCGCGCTTTAAAATATTGCTCCAAACCATACTAAACGTGGTTGCCTCTTGCATCTATCTAGGATAAATCTACATATAAAATTTTCATTGAAAATTTTCACCTATTTTCCCTGATTTGGTTTAGGAACAGATCTACAATTGTCGTCTAAAAACTGTCGTCTCGTAGATGATGAAGCAGCAATAAGTCCCCAAACCCTGAAAAAGTCTTCGACATTAAAAGCTGAAAACAGCTTCAAGCTTTTTACCTAATGTGCCACCCTCAATGTTATTGTTTCAACTAAAGCTTCCTTGCATTTTTCTTTACTTTCAAATATTCTATCGTTTCTTTCCTCCCAAATGGTCCACAGTATTGCTTCTCTAGTACACCTCCAAAGAATCCTTCCCCTCCTTGTCTTACCACTGATACCATTAGGGTTGAATAAACCTTCCACCCTGTCAGGAGAGGAGCACCTGCACCCAAAAAGGGAAGTAAACCAATTCCAAATAAAACTGACAAAAGGGCAAGATATTAGAAGGTGGAAAGCAGTCTCACCAAATAAAACTGATCTGCTTAGTTCTCATTTTATCATTTCTAGTCTTGTCATTCTTTGTCTTAACATCCTTCTCTTGTTTACATTAATTTCTGAAATAACTGTCTTATACAATTCACTTCTTATTCTCCTTGGTTTATGCTGTCAAATAGTGGTACACCTCTCCACTTAAACTACCTTGCCCTAACTCTGTGTGCAGCATCATCTTTAATTTCTCCCTCATCATGGATGGCTGGTAATGATGGTTATGGTTGGTTGATTCAAAGTATTTGAAGTGATTAGTTTGGGGTTTCTCTCTTTCTTGGATTGAGCCACCTTACTTCCTAGGATATACTTTGTCATTGTAGAGATCTTTAATTTCATCGTCGGCAGTCAAACTTTTTTTTTGAAGAGTAAAAAGGAAAATCTTATTAAAAACAAAGAGGATCTGAATACAAGCAACAGCCAGGGTGACAATATAGCACCCACTCAGAACAAAATGACAGAACATCAAAGAACACAAAATACAGAGACAACATAAAAAAAAAAAAATCTCCCTAGCCAAAAGCAACTAATTCATCTCATCCAAACACATCATCTTGCCTGTCTGCTTCCTCATCCCACTCCTTTCCATCTCTCCCTGCTATTTCAAACTCTCTTCCTTCTTTACTCCTTTCAAATGCTTCAAATTCCCTTCTAGCAAACTCCCCTCCTCCCCCCAAAAAAAACATACCTAAGCCCTTGCCAGCCCTAACATCTCTTTCAGCCAACTTTTCAATCTCCATTTTCCCCTTCTCCTTTGCACTGATTGGATGAAACTCATTTATGTTCTTATCAAAGTCTTTACCACCTTTGTCCATCTTTTCCTCTGCCCCTGATGCTGCCTCCACTCCCCCTCCTTTGACACTTGCAGTTCAACCTCCCGTTCCTTTTCAGCCTTCTTCAAACCTTTGAACTTTGTCCCTCTCTTCTTCTATACTATCTTGAATTTGTTTGTAGGGCTAGCACCAATCAGGCCAACCTTTAATCTTGTAGACTTTAGAACATGAACAATACGGAACTTACTTCGGTCTTTGAAACCTTAACTCAACCACCTGATCCTCTTGACTTGTCTTCCTTGTTAAAGAGGGTTGGTGTAAGCCTATTCCTCCCCGGGTTGGGAGTTTTTGTTGGGAAACTGCTCTGGAAAGAATCAACACAAGTGATCTACTTCAAAGAAAGAGACCTAAGACTTGCTTATCTTATCCCTGCATAGATTTATATTCTGCAAAGCTGATGGGGAACTGGTTACCACCTATTAGTATCCTGCCATTATGCTTAAAGTATTTTGGATTGGGACTTTTCCCTTTTCGGGTGTAGGTGGAATACCCCACTGCATAAGGGCTGTTGTTTTCTAGTCTTTGTGGGGAGAAAGAAACTCAAGAATTTTCTCAGAAAATGAGAGAAGCACTGAAAACATAATAGAGCTAATGCACATAATGGTGGCACAATGGCTGAAATCTTTGGATTTATTCACAGATTTTACCTTGGATGACTTGCTGAGAAGCTGGGAAGAGATAACAAGTTCTGCCCAGGTTAAAAGGGTTCTAAGTCCTTCTTGGATCCCTTCCCCCACTGACTTTATAAACTGAACTTTGATGACAGTAGTTTAGGGAACCTAGGGCAGTCTGGTATTGGGGGAGTTTTCAGGAATGAGGATTGGAATGTATCAGGCATTTTCTCAGGCCCAATTGACGAAGGTGACCCTCTCTAAGGGCTGAGATCTCTGTGGCCTTGGAAGGAATCCAAAAAGCAAAAGAAATGAATATAAGGAGGCTTGTAATTGGAGGTAACTCAAAGGTGGTAGTAGGATGGTTAAAAGAAGACAAGACTGGAATTTGGAGTTGTAGCAGTGAAAGGAAAAAATTTCAAGTAGCTGGCTAAGGACATTGAGATAAAGTACATTTTTAATTCTGTCTTCTGATTTTCTTTTGGGGGCTCCATCCTCTTTTTTGGTTAGTTAAGACAGTTTATCTCCCCTTTTCGTACTTAAAATTTCTTAATGATTAATGAAAGTTACTTGTTATTGATAAAAAAAATCCTTCTTCGACCTATTTCAACCCCAACCCTACCGACAGGAACTTCCATCTTTAGGGTTATCCTCTATGGCAACTATATCAACCACATAGTTGATATGAGTAGTAATTTAGTGTCCTTGATAAAAAGAGTATGATTAGCTTTTGATTATGTGAAACAACTTGCTAATAACACCCCTAAAACATTTTAAACCAGGTTCTTGGGGAATATCTCAACCCATATTTGGGTTTATTCGGATGAAACGACCCTTGTATAGTTTGTATTTGCAATTGAGTCAAATGGTTTCTTGTTAATCCACCCCATGAGTATGAGTGTAGCCTTTTGCAGCTGATCTGATTTACGTCCTTCAAATGGATCTATCAGCCTTATACTTTATAGTAAAGACCCATTTACATGAATAGGATCTTTTTTTTTTCTTTTTCCTTTTTCTTTTAATTTTTTGGAAGACGAACTGGTTCCAAGTATGATTCTTCAGTAAAGCAATCATCTGATCTCATAGTTTTCTTCCACTTGGTGAGAGACAGCTTCTGCAACCTGGTTAGGAATAAAAAGGGGAGTGGAAGAAAGAAAAGCATGATATAATGGGGATAGCTGCTTGTAGAAAAGGAGTTTAGAGATGAAATATACTAGAGTATGCTTTACAGAGTAAGATGCACATGGTATGACTTAAAATTGTGATACAATGGGTTTGGACCTTCACTATAGGTGGTTAATCCTTATCACAATTTACCCCGTAGTTGTTTTGGAAGGTTCAGTGGTACTCCTTAGCTGAAATACCTGATACAATTCTTTCTGGATTGACAACTCTTAGTGTTTGTAAACTTGAGTCTTATAATCTTGTTGGAGATATACTCAGAAAAAGAGATTGATATCTTTTTTGACARTTCATATATTCATCAATGCTTAGAGGTTTGCTATTTTACACATTTCAGGTTGCAGAAATAATTCTACAGGATGGTCATCCATTTGACCTTTCTGTGATTATGCGTCTGGTGACAATTCTGTCAAGTAGAGCACGCAATGAGCTCAAGGGATTCATGTGCTTTGTATGTTGGATATATTCCTTTAAACTTTTTATGTTTCAAACTTGTTCTCATTTGTCATTTCAAAGTTCAGTTGTATTTTAGTTAGATAATGTAATGCATTCTAAAGATGAATATTTCACTTTGACTTGGTTTGTTCCTTTTGTTTCTAATTAATTGAACCTTGCTTTTGGTTATTTTTTGTTCTAGGTTTACAGATCCGTTGCTGAAGTTCTTGGTTCATATTCAAAGTTGATATCTTCTTTTCAGTTTAATGCAAGACCCTTGCTGTAAGAAAATCTTTACTCCTTGTCTAGTTGATATGTTTCATGATTTGCTACTGGCAGATTATTTATCTATTGTCAGGTATTTATTCTTCACTAATTTGCTACTGGCAGATTATTTTTTGCTGCTGGAATTGCAGAACCAATTTCCTCAAGTGCTTGTGCTTCATCTTTACGTAAGCTCTGTGAAGATGCTTCAGCAGTGATTCATGAACCTTCAGATTTGGAAATTTTGATCTGGATAGGAGAGGTGAAAATATGAATACTATAGATTTCGACTACTGTCAGGTCATTAGGTTTATTAAAGATTTCGATTCCATACTCTGCTAAAAACATGAATAGTGTCGATGTCATTATTCTGGAATTTCTGAATGTGGTTTTCCTATAGCTTATCCCGAATAATTGGGATAAGTTGGTTTCAGGACTAGCCAAATGGTAAATATTCTGTTATTTCTAATTTATATATTTGTTCTTTTGAACCATTCTCATAGAACATGAAAGACAGTAATTATTTTGAAATAAAAATTTTAAGGGGCCATTACTTGGTGTAATTCTAAAATCTAGGGCTGGCAAGCATGAGAGCACAGGTTTGAGTATGAGAGGTGGCTACCTGGTGCAAAACATATAAAAGAAAAGGCCAAAGATTGGGGCTTACCAGTTTACCCAAGATCCCAGATAGCTGGGAGCAACATTGGGTAACATACTTTTTTCATAGGAGAGGTGACTTCTTATAACTGATGTAGGAATTTACTTTATCTAATTTTTGCCTAAGAGAGTTATTCCAAAATGACTAGGCCGCCTAAGGGCATCCACTTTTTGCATAAAGAGAGAATACCAAAATGATTACAGATTACACTGCAAGGATTTTGATTCTGCTAAAATTGGTAGAAGTGGCCATGTAGAAGGCTGGAGGTTATCAGGGTGAGGCTAACTATATTTGCTGCAATTAATTGCTTCTTTTGGGATTTTATTTTGTTTACTTAGCTTGAGTTGCGTGTCTTATATGTGTTTTTTATACTTTCCTTTGTTATTTAACTAGCTTTGAGTTTACTATTAAAATGATTCACCATCCTAGGACATCCTTGTGGAATTATGTAATTCTAGTTTCTATTCATTCTTCATTTGAAAGTTTGGTTATTTTGTTTTCAATAGTTTTTTATCACTTTTTCATGAGAAGGTTGTATTCCTAGTTTCATGCATCCATGTATATGATGAATTCCATCTTCTCAAAGCCATGGTTATATTATTAACTGCCAAGTATGACCCCTTGGGTTTAAAGATTCTGACCTTGAAGGACCTAAAATCTTCTAACAGGGTATATGTGATTCCTGATATATTCGGGTTGAATATCCAACCTTGATCATATCTTTTTTATGGTGTCATTGGTTCTTTTGTGTTCTTGCCAAATGCAGCCAATCAAATTTTTAATGTTCTTTGCTTTGAATGCATACTTCAATAGAAAAGGAAAAAGAGAGACATTGTATAAGATGCTGCCTGAGATTTTGTTTTTTTTTTTATTTTGATGCAATCCTCATGCTTACACAGATGAATATGGTCCTAGACTATTTTGGCTAGAATAGATCTGCAATCCTTAAAGGTGGTTACAGAGTTCACTCATTAGTCATAATAAAGTTTCACTCTTTCTTGTTGCCTTTTATTAATTGGTGAGTGGGGAATGGTTGGAGGTGGAGGTGGGAGGATGAATGGGTGGAGATGGGGAAGTTGTGTGATTTATGTCCAAGGCTAGTTTGAGTAGGAAAAATGTAACAATGTCATAATGTTTTGAGGTTCAGCATGGGAAGGTGGTGTGATGTTCCATTTTTAGAAGACCTTCATTAGATTTGGAAGTTGAACTATGTCTGAGTTTGCTGGCTAGGTTGCAAGAGGTGGAGGTTAATTTTGAGGGTCCTAATGTGAGGTGGTGGAAGGAATGTAGAAATAGGAAGTTCACAGTGAAATCCTACTAAAAGCTTTGGCAGAAAGACAGGTTGAAAGAGATTCTTTTAGTGTTTTTTGGGGTAACCCAATTCCTCCAATAGTAGAAGCTTTTGGTTGGTTGGTGGCAATTGATAGCATTCTTATCCAGGCACCACGAACAGTTAAAAAGGATAGGGTACTGCATGGCGAGTAGATATGTTGAATTAGATATTGAAAGCATTATGTGTCTGTTGGTGGTTTGCGACTTCACAAGTTTTGTTTGGGGCTTCTTTTTCCAGCTGTTTAGGGAGGAGCTTTGGTCACCTCAGGTTCCTAAAGATGTCTTTGACCTGTGGCCATCTCTCAGAGGCAGCAAGAAAGCAAAGATTCGTTGGAGTTGCATACCATTTGCAGTCTGTTGGAAAGTTTGTAAAAAGATTTAACAGGTGGATCTTTGATGGGAAACAATAGTCTAAGGAGAAGTTGTTTGGGATAGTTGGTGCAAAACTGCTTGGTTTTGTTCTGATGATTCCTGATTTTGAAGGAATTAAAAGAGAAGAGTTTAGAGCTGATTTCTGGAAGACGTATGAAATGCAGTAGCAGTTGTTTTCTTGTTGTAATTGTTTGTGTTAGTTTGCAGATGGTTGCTTTATTTGTATTGGGCGAAGCCCCAACACCTGTTTAAATTTGTAATCTTTTTCTTTATTAATAAAATTTTCTTTATTATTGATCTTCAAAAAAAAAAGAAAAGATTTCTCATTGGAGTCATATATTGGCTATAGGAGGTAGATCTCTTCAGAGACATCTTGTTTGATTCTTTTCCATGAATGGTACTCCATAGCTAAGTGTTGGCCTATGAGGAGTGCGACTGCATTGCCTTGGTTCCGTCTGCCTGTAGATATGGTTAAATTTAGTTATGGGAGTGTACAGGGTTTTGAACTCCCCTGAAAACCCTTTGAAATGATAGCCAACCGCAGAGAGTACTCGCTACTTTCTTTTCAATCCTGTCTATTGTTCATCTTGTTTCCAAAGTTCCTTGTTTTAGTGCTCCATAATTGCAGCAGTTTGAAACAGCTTATTACATGTTTTTGGACAATCACATTAACTTTAGAAGTTCATATCAGTCTGCTGCAAATGGTTTTGATGTACTTTGGCACAACTACAGGCATGCTAAACCTTTTTTCTCATTGTTCTTGCTCCTTAGCATATCCTTAGTAGAAAAAGAAAAAAATAATAATCTGATTTGATAACAGTGAAAAAGAAGAAAGAAGAAAAGAGTTCTTAGGTGAGAAGAGAAGAGATAGGGAGAAGCCAATAATGATCTGGTCCCTCACTCATTATCTTATATACTCATAAACAAGATTGATCACAAAGACTAATATGCCCTTAATAGGGCAGGTATTGTTCGGGTAATGTTCATAACATAAAAGCAATTCCAAAAAAAAACACATAAACTAATGGGCCTTGGGCCCAATAACACTAACTAATGGTCATAAACAAGAAAGTCATAAGAAACTGTTAAATCTCAGCATCCTTTTTGGGGATTTCCTCTTCTTTTGTTATTTTGTAATACAGTGGACTTTAGCGTTGTCAATGTTGAGAAGACATTTTGCCGTATAAGGGACTTTAGTCATTTGAATAATAAGGGTTTTATTGTTATTAATGTGCTCTAGTTTAAATTCTATTTTGAGGGCTACACCAATATTCCTCTTTTTCTGTTTTGGATAAATTAATTGATTGTATTATTCATTTCCAAGGTCYCTGGTGTCTCCAAAAAGACATCAGAGTTAGGTAAACAAGTACAGCTTACCAGCTGACATAATACAAACAGTATACAATATGTTTTACAATTTAGAAACTGACCCTGGTATACCCCAATAAAATTGTTGTCTGGTAGCTCCTGCCTTAGCTAAGCTGCCAGCTAGGGAGTTGGCTGATCTTGGCTTCAACTTGAACAAGCAATTCAAGTTGCATAACAATGCTTTGGTTTCCCTCACCCTGCCTCTAAACATCCAAGCAGTTCCTCCTGCAAATTCAGCCTTGTGATGACTATTTGGCAGTCCCTGTTTAACAGTCATGTCCAACTTTGCATGGAAATCGGCCTCAATCCCTGTGTCTACATTTCTCCCATTCTGTTGTGCTATCAATTTAATGCCTTGTATAACTGCCACGATCCCAGCTCTCCAGGAATCCCCACAGCTCACATTCCTGAGAAGCTAAGCAATAGTCTCCAATCTGAATCTCTAACCACTCCCTGAGTGATGGATCCCAGGTGGATAACCCACCATCAGGTCACCGGGCCCATACAAGTCAGGAAAGCCAGGCCCACACAGGTCGTGAAGCCCATGCAGCAGCAGCAGCAGCAGCAGCACATGCAAGGCGTTACAAACCTCCCCTGTGATTTGTTTATAACCGCAGGCCACATCATAACCATCCACATGCAGAGCTCGTAGCCATGATGAACTGATAAGTGCAAAAGCCTATAAAAGGCCTTTGGGTAGAACAGAATTGGCAGAAAAAGCATAACTACCTTATTTCCTTCTCTCTTCCTCTTCTTTCTCTCTCTCTTAATTCTGTTTCTAGAGGAAGGAGCTCCCTCGAAGAAGCTCCGTCGACTTAGTGTTCACCAATTGGTATCAGAGCACCTGATCCACCATGCCCACCACTCGCAATCAATCACAAGAAGGATCGATCGGATGGAGGGAGAACTGAGGGGTATTAAAGACGCCCTCTCTGCTGTAGTGTCTCAGCTCGAACGGGGATGTCAACTCAGCTGAGCAAGGAGGCAGACCAGGAGGGGTCGAGCAGCAGCGGCCTTCAACCGAACAGCACCTTCAACCTTCGCAGCCCCAAACTGGTGTTTCCACGTACTCAGGTGACGATCTTCCCCCTGGTTCTACCGTGCAGAGCGGTATTTTGATTTCCATGAGATTCCAGCCAGCCAGAGAGTATAGATTGCCTCCATCCATCTTGATGGAGAGGCTTGTCTCTGGTACCAATGGTACCGCTGTTCACACCCACAACTGTCCTGGCTAGACTTTGTTGAGGCCGTGCAAATACAATTTGGTCCTTCCAGCTTCGAAAATTTTGACAAAGCTTTATCTAGAGTGAAACAAACTGGCTCCATTCGAGAATATCAAGTTGAATTCAAGCGGTTAGCCATGAGAGTGCATGGATGACCGGAACATGCACTCACCGGCTGTTTTATTGGTGGCTTGAGGGAAGACATTAGGTTGGAAGTGAAAGCCTTGCAACCCCCTACTGTTTTGGCCGCTGTGAGCCTAGCCCGACTGCATGAAGACAAGTTGAACCGGGTTAGGAGGAATCCATGGC